TATGGCGGATCCCTCCACTCGAATCTGACACACAGAGTCAGAGAGTCTTACGAGCTCCCTCACTTTCTTCACCTCCGAAAAATTCTCAACACTTTTATGATATTCTTCTCTGAAGAACTTCTGGACATCAGGGTTATTCTTTAGTTTCTCTCGCTCCTTTACCGTCTTCCATAAATCTTCACACTGATCACGCAGAATTTTCGCAATCTCTTTAGATTTGTCTATGGCTTTAACTACATACAGCTTTTGAGCATGATGGGTAGACAGTGGTAGACAAACCGTAGGATTGGTAGACTTTGTTGCGTTTCCATCTTGTTTTTTTTCTTGCTCAGTGTTGATGGCATTCTGACTTGGCCTGGCATTTTCTACCGCATCAGCATCTGAAGCTTTATTAGGCACAGTTTTGACAAGAGTCATATCACCCTGGCTAACAACTACCTGGAAAGTCTTTTTGTTAAGCGTTTTTGTTACATCTAATACAAATTCATGTTTTATCACTGTACCAGACTCAGAAAGTGCACATGTTTTCTCGAAAATGACATCGTTAAATCTTCCGTCACGTTCAAGAGCAGTTTTGATTTCCTCTCCTTTGAATGCAAACACACAAACATAACGAACAATTTTTCTCAAAGCTGCGCTCTTCAGTAAACGTGTCACGGTTGGCCCTCCTTCTTTTTCAACCAAAAAGGTGACTAATTTTTCAGGTTTACTAAGGAGTGAAAGATCTATAGTTGTTTGTTGATTTGTAGAACTATTTCCATCCTTTTGGATGAAGGTTATGTCTAAGAGCTCATCTTCTTCAATAAGACAGCAGGGGAAATCGGTCTTCACAGCAGCTCTAGGAACTTTTCCATTGGATCTTTGGATGAGTATTTCTTTCTGTTTGTTCTGCTGTTTGTCTTTCTCAGTTCTGAAAATTTTGCTTATATTGAGAGCCTCAAGCACAGTCATGGAAGTTGTACACACAACTGAATATGTCTGAGACTTAGAGTTTATACAAAAATTGAAATGTTTTTTCTCTTCAACTTCCTGTTAAATGAGAAAAAAACGATTGATGTACACAAACATTCCAGTGAATTCCACTGAAGAAATGTTTGTAATAAATGAATAATTATGCATGTGTTACAGAAAGTGATCTACCTGCTGCAGATCTTTTGAGGGTCCCGCTTCAACTTCTTTCTTAACTAAAGGAGCCGTCGTTTTCTGTGAAAATGTCAACAATAGTGAAGTTAATACAGGCGTACCACTGTCTACATCTTTCTACCATAATTTAAATAATGAAAAGGGGACAGGTAAACACACTAATGTTACTGCCCTATCACACCACCAAACATAATGCCACAAAGCAAAACAAATGTCTTTTCACCATGAGAAGGAAACACATATACCTTGAGAACACTCAAAAACATCTGCTGTATCTGACTTCCAAAGATTTTTTTTTATTGACAAAATCACTAAATTAAATCTTAGTGTCTCCCCAATCCCGACACTTGCTTCTGGTTTTTGATCCTATCAACCTCCAGACCCTGAGGGACATGATTGTCAAGCTCAAACCATCATTCTGTCCTAATGATATCATTCACCCGAGATTTTTTTAATTAATCATTGATTCAGTTGGGCCAGGTGTGGTATCTCTTATCAACAAGTGTCTCAAAACGGGCTCTAAAGTGGCTACAGTCACTCCTCTGCTCAAGAAGCCTTCACTAGATCCTTCTGTTTTAATACATTTCCGTCTTACCTTTCATTTCTAAGCTATTGGAGAAAATCGTGCTGGATTAACTCAAACATTTTTTTGTAAATAATTGTATTTATGAGTCCGCTGAAGGGGTGGATTAGAATCCACTGCTGCTTCAATGTATATGTAATGAATGAGTGATTGTAATCAAGGTATTAATCAATATTTTTCCTTCTAAATATCAAATGAGTTGAATGACTTCTCTAGGCTTGTGAGATTTTACTTTGTTATAGAAGTTACCAGTGTGATTACTGAAATGTTCTTTTCACATGTACTCTTCAATGTCTGTATTTGATATCTGAAAACCGTATAAAATTATGATCCATATATAAGGCGCTCCGGATTATAAGGAACACTGTCGTTTTTTGAGAAGATTAAAGGCTTTTAAGTGCACCTTATAGTGCGGAAAATACGCAAATTGAAAAGCGTATGTACAGCGCGCATCTTCCTCTGCTTGTAAACAGAAAGTTTTGCGCTTGCAGCTATATCAGCACATCATCTTATACGGTAGGGGGCGGTAAAACTCCTAAGCGGTGAGCAGCCGGTAACAAGAAGTAGACGAATGAGAACGTCCTCGTCTCAGTTCTCGCGCATGCGCCCATAAGGAAGTAATAGAATAGTCGAATAAAGTCGTTATTTATGTTTTTTTCGCACAAAAAGTAGTCTCGTCGCTTGATAAACTTATAATTGAGAAGCTGTAGGCACATGGAATATTTAAACCTTTTCTTTAATGACTTTATGGGCCGTCAAGAGCCAGTCCCTTAGGCAGTCTATGTAGGACTGATCCAGCCCTCAGATTCAATCAAAAATATCTTTATTTGTGTTCCGAAGATGAACGAAGGTCTTACGGGGTTGGTACAGCATGGGGGTGCAGTGTTTCCTCTACATTCATTCTCCCGTGGCGGGCCGCCACACTTAAAATCCTCCCGCCACGGCTGCAGCTTCACAGTGACGTCCGATATTCTGCATAGTATTATGTTATTTTGTTAAGCCCCACTAAAGGCATAAAAAACTTTGTAAAGCACAATCAAGTTTTCACCCTATATTCCAAGACTTCTAAAGTCATTGCATAATGTGTAATTTTAGTCGCTAAGTTAAAGTTAACGGAAAGTCATCTCGCCTCAGTCATTCTCCATTCAGAATTCACACAGCTCGTCGCGTTCTTTTGCGACACGGCGACACTCTCTTCAAGGTCAATATTCCCATTATTATACTTCATTTGTAGATAAAGCATAAAGGTCTATGGTTTTCATAAAATGACTTTATCTTGCTGGAGTGGAGTTTATTGCCCATACCTTTCACATTCCCTTTAAGTAAGATTACAGCATGGAGTCGAGAGAGTGCTATTGTTCTTCATGCGCACTGAAATTTAAAACTGTTAAAAGAAAAGGCTCAAAAAACTGTTGCATATAGAATACACTAAGCATTAGTGCTGCACGATTAATCATATCGCAATCGTAATAGCGATCTCAAACCTATGCAATTATATAACGCAAAATGCCGCGATTTTATATGAAATAAACAAATTAGGGCTATTAACGCAGCATCTCTTCTTTTTTATCATCCTTTGACTAGTGTTACACGATCCTGTTCTTATTCGTGCAAATGCCTTTTCGCATTTTGCACAAGAACTGAAAAGCTGCCTGTGAATGCCCTAAATGAGACTCGCAGAAAGACGCGCGCCATAATGCGCATGCACTGACGCGTGCCAGATTACAGTTCTCTTTCGAGCTTGAACGAACAATAACACACACAATTATGCCAAAATGTCGTTTTGTCGAGTATCTTCATAACGTAAGAAAAGTCTTAAGGACGAAAGGAGTTGTGCTATGAGGCGCATGTGAGATCCGCGTCTCGGCAACGGGTGCTCTTAAAGGGCCAGCAGCGAATAAAGCGTTCTGTCAGTCAAGTTAAAAGAATAAAGGGAAATTAGAAAATTACTCACTGATCTTGACTAAAGAACTTTTGTAGCTTTAATAAGGATTATTCTATATATAATTTATAATTCATGCAGCACATACTGTTTGATAACTTTATTCAATTTCTGTATCCTACCTGTTTAGACAGGAAGGGCACAGGTAAATATGGTTTTTATTATGGGTTTATGTGGGGATTGTTTGAAGTTCACTTAATTTAAAATTTGTTAAATTTTTTTTTTAGCCTAATAATTTTTTTTTTAAAAAGTTGATAGCTTTCACTGTAATGATGGTTTGGTTGATGGTTTATTGATCATTGTGTTATCAATCATTTAGTTGTTGTCTGTAGTTTGAGTTGAGAAATAAACATTAATACACAGAATGATCACTAATCTGTGTGTGCATTTTACTTTAGAACCAAGCAAGTTGGACTCATGAAACCATTTTATTATATCGGAATCGCATATCACAATTGCAATATTGACCTCAGTAATTGCAATGGCAATATGACATTTTCCCCAAATCGTCCAGCCCTACTAAGCATATTATAGATATAATCCCTTCGCTATGTTCTTTTCAATGTGAAGCATTGCTTGCTGTGACTTGGTGTTGCTTCAAGTGCATCATTCTGCACACGGGATGCGCATGATCGATTATAATACTTTGGGGAGACAAGGCCTGCCCCCACAGCTTGGAAAAATCCTAGAGGAAACACTGGGGTGAGTAATTAATGACTTAATTTTCATTTTTGGGTGAACTAACCCTTTAATTTCTTTATGTGGCTGCTCTGTAAAGAACTTTGGTCATAAATGTGCCATATAAATAAAGTGAATAAAGTTAACTAGCTGCTATATGCAGTTTGCAATTTTAGATGGATACAGAATGATATATTTGGGTCTTGGACATGAAAGGTTTAAGAACACCTGGTCTAGAGCGTTCTGTTCGATCAGCTCTCAAATTCACTTCAAATTAAATGACAGCTCAAATCATATATGCAGCTTCATCCCAACTCGGTCATTGACACTGGAAAACTAGAATTCACCATTATTTTCTTTGTTCTAAGCTAAAACTGTGCCACTGTTACATTGGTTTGCTGTTGTACAAAATATATTAAAGTGCTAGATAATGTTTTCTTTATTTGTGGCTTTGAGAATTTTAGAAAACTTTCATATGGTGATATTTGGACAGTGTTGGGGAAAGTTACTTGTAAAAGTAATGCATTACAATATGATACCTGAACATTGTCACTCGCTTGTGACTTCTCCCCAGATGTATCATCTCTGGCAGTCTGTTTCTGAAAGAGACAAAAACATTTTCATTCCAACTAAGCCTAAAGCCAACGCAGTGTCTAAGCAGAGAGAATGAAAAGGATAACAGTCACCTGTCCTACACGACTCTGTTGAAAGGAGATCCGAAGGTCTGTCTGCTTCAGTTTTTTCTTGGGTGGTACTTTAGGCATGTTTTTAGGCATGTTTCTGTGTATCTTTACACAGAACAAATGATGAAGAGCTGAGAAATATGTTTAACTTGCGTAACTTGGTTATTTTAACAATGTAACCTTAAAATTAGTGACAGTCACCTATTATTCTTAAATTACTATTACCTTAAAACAGTATTGTGTTATTTTTCTGCTAACATTAATTTTTAATTAACATTTTCAGTCAGAAAAGTGAGTTTTTTTTCATCTTTCATCTGTATGCAGCTTAATTGGCTTGTTCGTTAGATTGTTTTGTCCTTTTGAGAGTCATTTGTCTGTGATTAGATTTAGGGTTTAGTTTATCAACAGTGAATGCTTTGAGTTATTGCTTAGAGCTCTGTCTATTGTCACAGTGGTTTTCTACTCATTTTGGTAAATATAATTCCTCTGCCATAGTGAAGCCTTGTGCACTGGGAGTTAAAGAGACACTGAGAATAGATTGCTGCTCGGTTAATTCTCAGTTTAATAGAGTCGGACAGAGGATATTTATAATTGCTATTTGCTGTATTCACCTGCATCAATACAGTTGGATCTGTGTCGATACGCGGGTTAACCTGTTTCTGCTTGCAGCAGATTTGCAGATAGGCATAGGCAAGTCGTAGGCAGCTCGCATGCAAACTCAATCATGGTGACAGCGAGCCAAAAATGATTTTGCAACACCTGAACAATCTAACCAAGGTAGATTATTTAAAAATTAACGTACAGGCGGGTGTGTGTTAGATCAGGTGTGGCTCTGAACTATGACGATCACACATGATCATGCAGGGCTGTCCTCTTAGATTAAAACACTATATTACAGTATATTTAAGGTAATATTTTTATAGGCCATTCTGTTTTTAAAGAAATAGTTCACCTTAAAAATGTAATTGGCATCATTTACTCAAATGTTGTTTCAAACCTGTATGAGTTTATTTCTTCTGTTGAACACAAAGAAATATATTTTGAAGAATGTTGATAACCAGACAGTTGTGTAAGTTACTCCGGCACATTGACTTCCATAGTAGGAAAAATAACGTTATAAGTTACTATGTAAGTGAACGGCGACTGTCAACTGTTTAAGTTACCAACATTCTTCAAAATATCTACTTTTGTGTCACAACGAAGTCGATCGATGACAGTGATTCGACACGATTCGTTCACGAACGAAAAGTTAAATTACCGCAAACACCCTTGATAGCATAGCGTTTTGATAGCGTTTTATAGCCTTTTTGGATTACAACGTTAGCCTAAAATCTTTCACAAGAAGTCAAGCGCATTTTATCAGCATGTTTGTAACCACCAGTGTAAAGTTAGTGATTTGTGTTAATATTGTTGAGGTAACGTTAACGTAAATCATTCGTTAAAACATTAATGCTAGAAATATATTAAAAGTTGCTGTAAATATCTAGGGTCATATTGTATTTTGTTTTAAAAAGTTACCTTGTGTGAGTTAAGCAGGAAAAAGTGGAGTGTCGTCTGTTTTCCTTCGTGTGTTTGAAGCTCTATGGTTTGGTTTGAAGTGTGTGATGATCATCATCGGCTGATCTCATGCAGCGCGCGTAAAAGCAAATTCTTCTTCTAGTGTTTTGACGGGTTATAGACCATTGTAAAAGCTGCATACCGCCACCTACTTTATTGGAGTCAGTAAATGATAAAATCAAAGTGCAGTTTTTGGTCAAATCATGGCTTCATTGATCTCTAGACCAGATTCACGTAGAAATGAAAGTTTTAGTTTGAATAGATTTTTAAATATATTGTTTATTCTCTAACCAGAATAGTTTGCCAGTGTTTTTGGAAATTGCTTTTATTTAGTGATTTACGCCTTCATTTTTCGAAAAAGGAATCTCTATTTATTTATTTCCCAATGCTATATTTTGCTAATTTGTCAATTTCATTTTCTTGTATCTGGTATCCAGGAAAATTGGAGCTATTTTATTTTTATTTAACTCAAAATGGTTCACAATCACATATACGCTCATATGTTTCTGTGCATCACTGCCATGGCAATAAACAAATACAGTCCACTTTAATTTTATGAATTGTTATGTTTTGTTCAGCTCATAATAGAACACCATGTAGAGAAATAGATCCAGTTGACTAAATAATAAATTAGATAAACCGTTAAAATAAAGCAGGAAAAAATATAGATAAAAAATAGCCTGCTATTGCTTCATATCTGATTGTATCAGAGTCATGGTGGTAAAGGGACACTGTTGTGTGAATGCCTTGAGATTTTTTTTTTAATGTCAGAGACAGCACAAAAACAGAAATGGCATTAAAAAACTATCCTTTTCAGCTCTAACTCTAATGGTACGAACTGCATTATTAGATCATATTGCAATTTTAATTTATTCTTTTAAAAATAATCAAATCTGCCACTAACGCTGCATTCAAATATCAATAGTTTTTTTTCTCATTCAGTATTACACAATTGTACAGAAAGGTAGGCTACCGTAATTAAAATCTCAGGAATATTTATTTGAGGTAGGCTATTGAGGAAATTCAAACAAACAAGAACAAATAAAAGAAAGAAAATAAAACAGCTGCTGTACAGATTTGGACAGATTTGGTCCTTCAAAATTTCAGTAGCTCTGAGCAGTAAATTTATAATAAATAGAACATAATTGAAAAAGTAAAAGAGCATGTTATATGCATTCACTTTTTAAACAAAGAGATTTTAAAGTTTACAAAACCCGAGCTCAATAACCAAAAATTAGACGTTTACTTCATATTTTCTTCTTTAACTTTAAAGTGTGATCTTATAAGGCTGGAAGCTTATCTTGCTATTTTGAACCAATAATCAATAAACAAAAGGTAGTTGAAGGATGACATGTCTAATTAAAATATTTATCTGACTAGACATATTAATCTGACTCCATTAGAATACTTTAATCTCTATTAACACCACCATTCATTTCAGTTTATAAGCTGTCAGATGAGACCAAACATGGCTGAGTTACATATTAGAACACACTAGTAAATAAACAGTATGTAGTAGAAAGCATATGTCCTGTGAAGCAAATGGACGTGTCAATTGTAAATGTCTCTCACGACAGAGCATCCTGTGCAGTTGGAGTATCCCAACAGTCCTCAATCAGAATTAGCATACTGTGATGATGAAGGCCATTATGCCACGTTTAATTCACATGTATACCTTTTGAAAGGCTTTTTGAAGTATAGGCAAGTAAAGAGTTCTGCCCATATTTGCATGGGCTCAGCCCTACATCATGGGCGTGTCCATTGATGATGTGCTCAGAGTTCTGAGTCGTGGTGACGATCAAGTCTCTTCACATCTGAACCGATTCCAGCCGAACCGCAGGAGCAGAGATGAATTCAGAGAGGTAGAACAGATCAGCTCTGATACAAACCTATAAAGATCCATCAGCCCAATTCAAACACCATTTCATTTGAACTATTTTAATTCAAATGAGACAACTTTTGCATTTAAAATAACAAGTAGATGACAAATAGACTTAACAAATCAACAAACATAACAGTTATTAACAAACTAACAATGTGCATGTGTTAATTCACATTGATTATGAACCTGGAGTACTTAATAGTCCTATGAAACTACCATATTCAACTAAGCAGGGCTGTGCAAAGATTAATTGCGATTAATCACATCCAAAATGAATTTTATTTATTTACACACACACATATTATTATGAAAACACAAACTTTTATTTTGGATACGATTAATCGCAATTAATCTTTGCACAGCCCTACTAAGCACTATTACTTACTAATTTATTAATCTGAATTTCTTAGTTAACAGTAGTTAGTGTTAATAATGTATCACTCATTTGTTTCTGTGTAGTTATTCTTTAATGATGGAACAGTATTCCAAATAAATAAATAAAAATGTATCCATAAGAAATATGTCAACACTCATCAAACCTTTTCATTGAGTCTTTATTGTAATTAGCATGAGCAATGAAGGTTTTTTTTTTCACAATTATACACAAAAAGTGTTTTTATTATTAATAATTCTGATTACATTTCTTACAGACCGTTCACAAAATTTTCCACACCAGATCCCCGAAGCTTCTCAACATGATAATCACTCAAACTATTTGAATCACACAAGATACACACTAATGAAATAATAACTAATTAATTACATTCATATAGCGCTTTTTCTCAGCGCTCAAATCTATTTACATAGAAGGGGAAATCTCCTCAACCACCACCAATGTTAGGTAAAATGTAAGCCTTAAAATGAAAAAAAAAAAAAGTGTTTAAATTTAAGTAAATTTAAGTGTAATTAAGTGTAAAATAATAATAAATTTAAGTGTAATCTCCTACAACAAGTAAAACATTAAGATGAAGGAATGTAAAATGAGTATAAACATAAATGTAAAGTTAAAAGAATATATTAAATGCATATGAGCGAATGATTTGTTAAATGAGTATGGAAATATGAATAAGCATATGAGCAATTAAAGAAAATAATATCCTAACTATTTTTAGCCTCACATGAATGAATAATTTTTACTGTTCCTCTCTTGACACGTCAATCCCACAATCGCCTGCTGGTGGGTTTCTGGACTTTAAAATAAGAGACACTTCTGCTGTTGAACATGCAATCATCTCAATGAAATGAAAAGTAAAAACCATATTGACATAATCTCTCATAAATGAAGGCTTTGCAGCAACTTCCAAAGTGTCCATGTAGACATGAGGATGAGGAACAGCTCTGAAGAGCCTTCTCGTCCAGTAAATCTCTAAGCTCATCACGCAGAATCACATCAAGAGACATTGTTTAAAAAGTTACTAAAGAAAACTAAAATCTTCAATCTAGAATACTATAAAAGAGAGAAAAAAATGTATAACCGGACTGGAAAATCTCTGTCAGATATATTTCCTGGTCTTCAATCAGGAGACGAAGCTCAGGTGTCCCTTTAGTTTTCTTCCATGTTCTCCTCTTCATTCTGCCGTTCTTCCTTAATGGGGATGTTTGCTTCACATGCATCCTCAATTTTCCCAAGGTCAAAATGTTCTTTTATACTATAAAATTTTTCATTTTGTAGTAATTTCATGATGTCACTTCTTGACCTGACCTGTGCGATGATGCTTTCCATGATGGACTGCATGGAGTATGAAAACTCTATAACACTTCTAGTTCTTTCATCTTGTTTGTAATCAAAGCCACCAGAGTGCATGCCAATCAGATTGCAGTGTGCATCAAACACCGGAGAGCCAGATGATCCATGAAAGAAACAAGAGTTATAAGTTATCTGGTTCTTGTATAGATTTGGCCAACATCCCCATGACACATATGGACAGGACACATTCTCAGATATGTGTTGGTTTATACTCCGTAGTTGATTCTCTTCTCCAATGATGAAGCAGGGGTCCATCTTTTTAACATCACAATCTGGGTGTCCTACAATGTAGATCCCACCACTGTTAGGAAAACTGTCATGCTTATAACAAGTGAGCAATTCAGTACATTTATCAGGTGCAGTTTCCAGTTCAAGAAGAGCATAATCATGGAACATGAGCGCCGCATCTTTTTCATATCTGTAAGCAATAAGCTCACTCTTTGCTTGGAGATTTATTGTCTTAGATCCCAAAAACTCATAATTGAACACAGCTTTCAGAGTCCTTGAAAGCTTAAGTGTGTCAGGATTATTCGGTGGAGAATAAATAAAGTCCTTAACAACATGAGCATTAGTGAGGATGAATCTGTCAAAGAGTAAGAAGCCGGTTCCTCTGCGAGAATCGTCAACTACAATCACACACACGGAGTCAGACAGATCCATGACTTGCCTCACTTTGTTCACCTCAGTGAAAGAATCAACAACACCTTTATCATATTCTTTTTGCAATAACTCTTGAACCTGAGGGTTTTCTTGCTGTTTCTTAATGTCAGTAAAGAATGAATTTCCAGAGTCACCAGAAGAATTGCCAGAAGTACTCTGAGTTGCATTCCCTTCAGTTGAAGGATCTGTGGCGTTTGTCTTTTCCTCTTGAAGTGTTTTTTGTTTGGTGTGTTTAGACTGTTGGCTGTGTTTAACAGACTCACCATCATTCTTGTCAGGTGCTCGTGCCTTTTTATACTCAGCATTTACATTGAATTTCTTGCCATCACACTGATCTACAGGCAAATGTATTGCATGGATGACATTTTCATCATCAACGAGTTCAACGGTCACCTTGTCAAAAAAGTCATCACTAAATCTGCCATCATCCCGAAGAGCCTTTTCAATAGTGTCTCCTTTGTGTGCAAATACACACACACAGTCAATTTTGTTATTCAAAAAAACACTCTTCATTATTGTTTTCTTTGTCACCCCTCTCGTTCTGATGTAAAAGGTGACTAGGCCTTTAGGGTCAGTATCTGCAGTTGTTTCCTGGTTTGCAGATTCAATAATTTTATTATTGTAGAAGTTTATTTGTAAGGTCTCACCATCTTCAATAAGACAGCAGGGGAAGTCTGTCTTCACAGCTGCTTCATGGTATTTTTCTTTGGATCTTCGGATTATTATTTCTTTCCCCTCCTTATTAATACGTTTAAATTTCACGTTCTCATTAAGTGCTCCAAATACAGTTTTGGATGCATCACACACAACTTTATTTGGTGCTCCATCTTTCAAACAGAACTTGAAAGTGTAGGTTTTTCCTTCTGCATCCTGTAAAAAAAAAAAATACAAATAATTTTGGTATTTACCCCTAAACCTTGTCAAACACAAACCATCAGAAGTAAACGCAGAACTCCTTTCTATTGAACTATTGTGTTGCGAATTCTCTCCCTTTAGAAATTGAGCTGGTTACGTGGGTGACGTTTTAAGTTGCGTTGTACGCAGATAACGTAGTGCAGCGTTCTCAGCACGTACGAACTAAGTGTAATTGCCTATTCACTAAGCTACACCAGTTGAGCATCATATTGTGCACGCGTTCATGTACAGCGTTCATGTGCAAGAGAAAGTTTATGACAAAGTAAGTTTCCTTCTATGTATATTGTTAATAGTGCAGTTGAAATACAATGTGACGATCTGTGCTGAGTTAGATAATGTTTATTATGTTTAGCGATCTTTCTAACGGTAATTTGATCCTGCTTAACGAGCATCCCGCTAGCATCGCGGCTCGGTTTGTTCATATTTACAAGTTAATACTTTGAGGTGATTTTCTCTGTGGATAATATTTTTCACTTATTGTCATTTAGTACTGCCAGTGATAATGAAGACCGTCGATTTCTATAACATTCGGTGTTTGTCAATTCAATTGCATTATGCAGTTTATTGTAGATTCATATTAATAGGCCTATATTTCTTGATTTATAATATATTTCATGTATCTGTGCACTTTACAGAGATGTTTATATTTGAGTTTGTAATATCTTAAGTTGTTGAATAATTCAGTGAGTGAATATTCATTTCTGTTATGTTATTTATTTCAGAAACTACCATGTACCACTATGGTCACTCTTGTGCATTAAACACTTAAACGCTCTCTGATGACTCCGACTCTTTGACCAGAGTTCTGCAGCGGTCAATAGCATAATCCACCAGTTTTCAGTGGGGCAATCCCCAATATATTGTATATGTGCAAAGCTGTTTTTTTTTATTTTATAGAAATCAATAAGGTTTATTTTGGTGTAATATTATAAGTAGAAGTCCCAAACACATTTGATAAATCGTTTTAAAGGGTTCATGAAATGCATTTTCAAATTACAACTCCATAGGCGCACATAGAGCGTTGAGATGGAGCATTGGTGCCGCATTTTGACCCATAATTCAATGAAGCATGCATAAATTGTGGAAAATTGCACATCATTATTCACAGCTGATTGTAACGATTGAAAAGAGCCCAAACTCACGTTAATCCATCACTTAGATCTAAAGATATTACGTATGGACTTCTAACACATGAAGATGTCCTATGCGCAGCAATGCAGTTGCAGTCGCGGTGACGCTATGTTGGTCTGATGTGACGTTTCGGCTCATAACTCAATGAAACATGCACGGATTGTGAAAAATCGAACATCTTTATTGACAGCAGATTCTCACGATTACAAAGAGCCCAAAAACAACATAATCCATTGCGTTGATCGCGAGATATTACCTCATGAAGTGATGCATACTTGGCTAAAAAACATGTCCAATCCTTTCCAGGATTCAATGTGTTTTCCAATGTTCCCGGAACCATCCGCGCTTTTTCTTTTACGTGGAATAACACAAAATATGTGTCGTTTTAAAGCTTAGAATCTCAGCTTTTTAACGCATCCAACCACTTAGATCAACTCTGAACGAGTGCTGACTGAACACTCTAAACCGGAGTGTCCCACCCGTGGGCGCCGCCTAGCTGCGTAAATGTTCATTACCATATTTTTTAAAAAAATTTGCCTTGATTAACAAAAAATAGGTTTCATTTGAAAGCTTAGAGTCTGAACTTTACAGTGAATGTAGCCACTTTGAAAAACTCCTAAGTAGTGCTAAGTTATTTTCTGATAAATATTTAAAAAAAAAAATCATAATCAATAAAATACTTTTCTGTACTATGTACTGTAATGTGTCAAAAACATCATACAGCTCATGAAACATTCACAGATAGTTGAAAATGGCACATCATTTTTTACAGCATATTATTACAATTAAAATGAGCCCAAAATGAACTTAATCTATTGCATATATGACAAGATATTCTCCATGGAGAAACAATTTCAAGAATGCCCAGTAGGGGGGCGTAAAGAACTGAGAACTGACTACATTGGTTCCAAATGCTGTAAATTTTGATTCCTTAATCCAATCAGCACAAAATTTGATCCAGATGCAGCTCACATAGAGGGACTTCACCAAAAAAGAATTTTCCTCCTACCTTATTTCCTTCCTGAGTTATTCTATGTCAAATAAGAAAGATATGCAAAATCATAATAAAAATTATATTTATTTTTTGTCTTTTTTCAGCAGTTTTTCAGCAGCAGAATGTCCAAATGTAATGTAATATATATTTTAAAAAAATTTGAAAAGTGTTCTATCAAACGATACCAACCTTTTGACTCTCCTTGCAAGAGTTTTGGAGTTATGACTCTTTAGTTTTGTGTGTGTCACTCAGAAAACAGCATTTTTGTATTGCCTTCCAAATGTGTGAGGACTAAACAAAAAGACTACCTTTGCTCAGAATGCTCTAACTTTTGAGTACTTTATGCGATCACCACAAAAATTGATACAGATGCAGCTCACATGTAGAGGGACTTCGCCAAAAAAGATTTTTTTTGCTACCGTATTTCCTTCCAGAGATATTACATCTCAAACAAGAAAGATATGAAAAATCATAAAAAATATATATATTTTTTTGTCTTTTATCAGCAGTTTCTCAGCAGTACAATGTTCAAATGTAACGTAATTTATATTTTCAAAAAATTTGGAAAGTTTTCTATCAAACGATACCAACCTTTTGACTCTCCTTGCTAGAGTTTTGGAGTTATTAGTCTTTACTTTTATGTGTGTTTCTCAGACAAAAAACTCTAAAAATGGCCTCAGGGCTTAAGGGGTTAAGAGCACACCTGATTTATTTACATACACGTGTTAAGGAGAGTTTGGAAGAAAATCATGAAATCATCACAAATATGGCGATTTCCGAAAAAATGTTTTCAGAATGCTGTTTCAAATGCTGTTTCAGAAGGGTGGAAAACTACGGAAGCGTATTGCATTCACTTGAAGAAAAAAAATCTACTCTGTTTTTCTGAATTAATGAGTTAATTATCTCAGAATTACGAGATAATTTTTTTGGAAAAAAAGTTTTTGCTCTGTTTTTCTGAATTTCTGAGTTTCTGAGATAATTAACTTGTTAATTCAGAAACACAGAGCAAAAACTTTTTTTCCCCAAAAAATTATCTTGTAATTCTGAGATAATTAACTCATTAATTCAGAAAAACAAAGTAGATTTTTTTCTTCAAGTGAATGCAATATGCTTCCGTAGAAAACAAACTTAATTTAAATAGTTTCCTCCCATAAATTTAGCATCTGAAAGGGAAACTCCGACAAATGCATGTGCAATAAGATTAGCCGCAAAAATAACCCTGTCCACAACTTTTAAGCACTAATTTCTCACTGCGTATCTTCGGTAAATCCTGACAGTTGTTTTTGAACGCCAAAAGAGGGTTTGTGCTGGGTATTTCAAATCCATGGAATGAAGTGGTTCAAAAGGAGGGGCTTTCATAGCTTCGAGAACTGTAGAAAGATCCCAGATAGGAACCGATGGGGGGGTGCGGAGGGTTCATCCTTCTAGCTCCTCTCAGGAAGCGGATGACCAGCTCGTTTTTACCCAGCGTCTGGCCGTGCAGGGGTTCAGCGAACACCGTGACGGCCGCCACATAAACTTTGAGCGTGGATGGGGACCTGCCCTCATCCAGCAGCTCTTGTAAAAACACGAGCAGTGACGACACCCCGCATGTCCGTGGGTCCAGATCTTTGTCGGTGCACCATTTAGAAAACACAGACCATTTGGACGTGTAGATCCTTCTTGTGGAGGGAGCTCTAGCGTGTATGATAGTGTTTATCACTCCTTCTGGCAAAGCAATGGGTAGTCGTTGATTACCCGCGTATACAGGGCCCAGCGCTGTGGGTGGGGATGCCAGATCGTGCCGCAAGCTTGAGAGAGGATATCTACTCTGACTGGAATGGGCCACGGGGCTGTCAGTGAAAGCTGCGTAACTCCGGGAACCAAGTCTGATTCTCCCAGTGCGGGGCTATGAGGAGCACCGAGTCCCGCGTTTCCCTGATCCTCTGTATTACCTGTGGCAATAGCGAGACGGGAGGGAAGGCGTAAAGCGGGCGGTTGGGCCAGTCCTGGGCCAGCACGTCCTCGCTTTTTGAGAAAAATATTGGGCAGTGAGAGTTTTCCTCTGATGCAAAGAGGTCTATCTCTGCTCTGCCGAATATGCGCCATAACTTCTGGACTGTTTGAGCATGCAGGGACCATTACCCTGGAGGAATGTTGTCTCTGGACAGACTGTCTGGGCCGTCGTTCAGGTGTCCGGGCACATGCGTCGTTCTCAGCGAGCGCAGATGGCACTGGGATCAACTCAGTATGCGTTCTGTCCCATGCCAAGGGGGTAATCTATCGACCGGAAGTTGAAGCCTCGCGGGAGCTGACATCTTGTAGCAGAACTTCACTTGCGTTAGCATTCCCATTGACTCCCATTCATTGTCGCACGTAGAGAGATTACCGTATGTACAGGAGGAGAAGCTCGTGCGCAATCGGGAAAACGTGGAGGCAAAATGACAAAATAATTAATCAGAATACCTAGCAAAATTGTCTCCTTCTCCTAGTT